TCTTGTGTCCTACTATGGACTGGTATCCTGTCCAGCGTGTAACCTTGTCTTGTGTCCTACTATGGACTGGTATCCTGTCCAGCGTGTAACCTCGTCTTGTGCCCTGTGATAAACTGGCATCCAGCCTCCTTGTCCCAAAAACCTCAAACAGGAGAAGTGCTTAGAAGAAGGCTGGATGTTCACTGAAGATGTGAAAAGGTGTGCTGTTTATTTAAGTGATGATCAAAGGCCTTAAGACTTGACAAGCTGGGTAACACAAGCTGTGTTTTCCATGCAGAAATCCTCCTTATCTGCTCTTGAAGAATGACAGTGATATTCCGCTTGACTTCTACAAAAGAAGATGCAGGAGGAGAAGTAATGATAGAGGAGGGTCCCCTCTCGAACGACCTTAATTCTAGAAAGAAGACACTTGAACAGCAGCCCGAAAAAGATCCCACTGTAATGATTTAATTAACACCTGAATGAGCCCATACTTAAAAATGAAAGGTCTCTGCATTTATATAATAGAGCCCATATTAAAATAAGGAGGCTGTTTGTACGATGTGGATGGCCTGTATTTGGGATTTGCTGTGCGTCATTCCTGTCCAACTCTGCCAGGGTTTGGACTAGTTAATGGGGGCAAACTGGTCTCGCCTGTTATGACTCAGCCCTAGTAAGCAGGATACCACTGGACAGCAGTTACAGAGCTGTAACCTGTGATCATTCACCACGTTCTGATGGTGTGCCCCGCTACAGTGTATATCACACTGAAGTATACCAAACCCTAGTATAAAAGACAGTTTTATGTGGCGTGCCCCGCTACAGTGTATATCACACTGAAGTATACCAAACCCTAGTATACCAAAACAGTATTATGTGGTGTGCCCCGCTACAGTGTATATCACACTGAAGTATACCAAACCCTAGTACACCAAAACAGTATTATGTGGTGTGCTCCGCTACAGTGCATATTGCACTGAAGTATACCAAACCGTAGTATACCAAAACAGTATTATGTGGTGTGCTCCGCTACAGTGCATATAATACTGAAGTATACCAAACCATAGTATACCAAGACAGTATTATGTGGTGTGCTCCGCTACAGTGCATATAATACTGAAGTATACCAAACCATAGTATACCAAAACAGTATTATGTGGTGTGCTCCGCTACAGTGCATATTGTACTGATGTATACCAAACCGTAGTATACCAAAACAGTATTATGTAGCATGCACCGCTACGGTGCATATCACACTGACGTATACCAAACCGTAGTATACCAAAACAGTATTATGTAGCATGCCCCGCTACGGTGCATATCACACTGAAGTATACCAAACCATAGTACACCAAAACAAGCTGGCATCTGGCCTGTCATCTGAAGCCCTGGTGATCATTGTACATGCACAATATAATATGGATATCACCCAGCCCTAGTCCCACGACTGAGCTCTTTATTCGCACCTCACCTGTGTACCTGCCTCCGCCCCCCCAGGCCTTCTCCCGGCCCCCATCTCCCCCTGAAAATCTAAAATACTACAAGTAAAGCTGTCCCTCACCACACGGCCTCTGGGTGGCGGCATTGCATTCACCATCCCAGTTCATATTACACAGTATGTCCGACATGGTCTTAAAGATACGAGCAACTGTAGACGGATGAAAATGCAAAGCGTAAAAAAAACTTTGTAAGCAATAAACGTGGCGTCACGTAAACAGTAAAATGAATAACACCACGATGGAGGAGAGGAAACATAAATGTCAAGGAAATAAGAAGGCATTCATCAAAGACGTGGGCACAGAAACCTATTCTTTGATTTAGCGAAATGAACGTGAGTATAAATCAGTGTCGCTTCTCTTAACTAAAATGCCGCCGTTTCTGCTGTTTCGGGTTTCAGGTTTCATATACCAGAAAAGGTCAGCCACTCGCTTCGGCAGGCAGAACCGCGATTTATGTAGCTTCACCTTTCGAAAATGGGCAGGACGGGGTGGTGGGGGGGGGGGGCATTATACCCAAGAAATATTCAGCGGATCCGGGGATGAACCGGCCGCTGCAGGGAACAGATTGAAACGGCCACTTTGGGTCCATTGTGCGTCTTGTCCTGCTATGATAAAGCGGCTCCTCGCCGACTGCCCCAGACTGGACACCTGCAGAAACTCTGCCTCAGCGTGCCGTCCAATAGCAGGCCAAGCTCTCGGGGCACTGTGTAGTTGACTGAAGGCGCTTAATGTGGGGGGAGGGGAGCTGGACGTTATTGGGTCTCATTATGAAACTGTGTAACACAGTTAGCACCGTATGAGTTATAACTGACGGTGAGTGCGCCCTATTTCACAGGAAGCCGTCCCTGGATTGGTGGACCAACGACAGCCAGCCGCCTCTGATTTGAAGAGCAAATGGAGGGATATTCCTCATTATTCATGGCCGTGGGCTCCAGCGCCTGTGACTCCGACTTCTCTGATCTTAAATTAAAGCCACAACCAAAGCATGTCAACATCATCAAAGAGAGCGGCCAAGAGGGACGCGACCCCATAACGAACCGCAGCCCAAATGAAGGCGGTCCACGAGCCTTTTGAAGCCTGCCGGACGGCGGCTTAGCATCAGAGCATTTCAAAGCCTTACCTGAGGCTAAGTGTTAGCTGCTGCTCCTTCAGTAAGTCTCCCACTGAGAAAGAGGCGTAGCCCAGGAAACTCCTCTGCGGACGAAGAGAAACAGGCGCATTAGCGATTGCAAGGCCACCGAGTGCTTCTCACACAGCAGAAATGCGCCGAAATAGCTGCGCCGCATCGGCCTGCTCTTACATGCGGCCGCATTTCTGAGCCCGGGCTGGCAGGACGGGCCCCCACCCGAGCACGACAACACTGTAACTCCATGCCGAAACAGAGCGCTGAAGCATCGGCTCGGGTTTCTGTGATCCGAGATGCCATTCTCACTGACACCAGTGGGGTGTCCAGTTCAGTGGCGACTGGCACCACCTTACATTGCAATGCGCTGATTGTCCCAGCGCAGGAAAGACCCGCTCCACCTTCCTATTCATGCGGCTTCCCCATATTCATCGCAGTCCGCAACCACCCGCCCCCCCCCAACAGTCTGCACTCTGATTGTCACTCCAAATCGGCACTCAGTCACGCCTTGAGTTATTACACGTCATGCTCTCTGATTCTCTTTTATCTATCCACAAAAATTCAGGTTAAAATAAAATTAGAAAAAACAAGAGGCAGCCATCTTAATTTACAGACTTGTCACATTTTCCTATAAATACTTGACAAACTGTAGCTGTAAGGACTAGGTGAAGAGAGATGATGGGAACTACAAAATTAATCGATTGGCTGAGCAGACCAAAGTAATCGATTGGCTAAGCAGACCAAAGTAATCGATTGACTAAGCGGACCAAACTTTTTGTCTGTGCTTCTGCAAAATCACTGTGAGCGCCCCCTGCCCCCTAAAGCTGCCACCATCCCAACTCATGCAAATTAAAACCTCCCCCGCACTCATCACTCCAGGTTACCTTGGCAGCCGCAAAGGCTGCTCACCCACCGAGGGGGGGGGGGGAGCAGGACCACAACAGTAGAGACATGTTGCATGGTTTCAGCAGGTGATCCAATTGCTCAACAGCCCCGTTGCCAGGATACCGGCAAAGGGGGTGGGTCACATGGGTGACAGGTAGGTGGGCACAGCACGTAGACACCCAGCTGGGTATTCATTGTTACGCCTCTAGGTCCTGGCCCGTCCTAAGTGCCCTGCTCCTCATGGCCTGTGACCACACGGACCAGCGCTGAGACCCGCCTGGTGAGCAGCCTGAGCTACACACTGAGCTACACTGAGCCACACTCTGAGCTACACTCTGAGCCACACTCTGAGCTACACTCTGAGCCACACTCTGAGCTACACTCTGAGCCACACTCT